GCTTCAGGGTCGAACCACCTGCACCGCGTTCTGTGAGACTCGTTTCACTCACAGAAAATGGCCTTTACTCGTCCAATATAATGTATTATGGTTAATTTAAACTCATGCCTATACCAACATAGATACGGGCGCTTAGGGTTTCCGACCGAGTGCGTGTCAAGAAACATCTGTCCACGGTGTGACGGAGGTACGCGACGCGTCTCTTATCGGGGTGACGCATCTCCGGAAAATCATCCCGGCGTGGGCGAAAGGATTATACGGAGGTATTCTCACCCAGACAGCAAAATTATATTTTGTAAATATTTTCAAAAAATGTTTAAATTAATAATAATATTCTCAATTTATTTCAATTGCATGTCACTAATATAGTTTTAAAGTTCAAAAAATATTCTAACGTTTTTAATTGTCCACTTGATATTGTGTTGAAAGAATATTATGTTTTTAACCAGTGTAAAATATTATATTAAAAATGATAACTGAATATTCCTCCAACATTTTGAACTGTTTACTGGAACATTGTAAAAGTTGTATCAAAATAATTTTCATACCAGTAAAATGTTCCTAAAACATTTTTATTATCAGAAAAAAATATTTTAGAAATTTTTTGAAAAAGTATTAATTATTGAAACTTTTTAATTAATATACACACTTGCTTATCAGTTATATTATATATAATTGCTTGCCTTACTCATCCACTATTCACTAAAACTATGTTACAATTAATGGATAAAAATATTATTATTAATATAATTATAGAAATAACATATATTTTAAGCTTAATATATTCAAGAAAAATAACAAAATGGTTTTATTTCTATAATCAATTTATTAATTCTGTAGTGTAACAAAAAAATATCCATCTCGGAACAAATTAACTTATTTAACATATTTTATTAATAACTATACAAAAAAATTCTTCCCAAACCAAATACTTACATATCTGAATTAATAAAAGCATAAAAAAATATCAGACTCGGATCAATTAGTTTTACATATTTTATTTAAAATAACAAAAAAAAAAAATTCTCCTTGGATCAATTTAAAATTGTATACTTCAACAAAAGTATAAAAAATATTCGTCTGATCAATATTAATTAATTTTACATATTTTATTATAAATAACGAAAAATATCCTTCTTGGATCTTGTATAAATAATATTATTAAATTTAATCAAATAATTTATGATTTGTCTATGTTTTTATGATTCATCAATCTAAATTTGGCATGTGCTATCCAAGTTGCAAGCGGTACATCAAACTCTTTGTCAATTAAATTGTTAAACTTTCGGTGGACCCTAATGGCATCTGTGAAATATAAGACACTATTTTAGTATTTTAATTAAAGAACAAATTAGCATCTAATTTACCAATCAGTAAACGATAAATTCCAAGTTTTTGAAAACTCTTCTTCTTTTTAAAACCTTGTAAGGAGTATTCTACTAAAATTTCATCTTTAAACATTTTTGACATTAATCGCCGCACGCTGTCACCAACATTTTTTATACCAACCATTAATGATAATTTTGAGGACTGGAAGTAAAATAAAATATATATTAATTTATTAAATAAATAAATAATAATACATTGATCATGTAGGTATATTGTTCCATATATTTATGAGACTAATTTATAAGTAATACATATTAGACTTACTATATTAGATCTGAAGTGTTTATCATTTTCAATTTGTCTTTCAAAATGTTCAAGTTCATCATTTGATTTAATTGGAAATATTTCATCCAGAATAAAAGTTTCTTGAAATTCATTTGGTAAGGTTGATGAATTCACAGGCATATTTTGAATGCTATCCAAAATTAAATGAGACGCATTTACTGTATGAGTTAATCCAGCAATATCGTACTTCACTTTTGTTAATGTACTTATAACAAAGTTTTGAAAATCTGTAACAATATTAGTAACATATATAGTTTTACAAGGGATAGTTGTATAAAACATTGTTTTAATATTGTATTTAAATTTGTATTAGTATTCAATATTAAGAGGTATTTTTTCTATTAATACCATTACTAAACATAAAAATTCAAAAGGTTTATTTAGTTTTCAAAGATAAATTATAAATAAATATAAATTAACAATTTAGTCATTTAATATCTTTTGTAAATAAAATTTAACTTTTGTTTAGTTGTTACTCTGAATAAGTTAATAAATAATTGTTTGGTTAATAGAAAGTATTAGCTAATTTTAGGATATACAGATTTAAATAATACATTGTAATTTCTAAATAGTAATATGCAAAAAGATATAAATTAAATTACTTACATCTAATGGTTAAGTGGCACAGAAGTTTATAGTAATTATAATTAAATTAATAATAATTTATTCAAACGAATAAACCGGGTTATTATATATATTATATATTGTATTAATAATTATGTTGAATTTTAAAGCTATTAACTCCTTCAATAAAATCAATGTTAGATTTAATAATAATAGAGTATTGATATAGACCAATGTTTCTCAACCTATGGTACTAGTGATACTTAAAAAGCTCATAGATGGTACGTGAAGAAAATCTCTCTTTATGAAAAAATGGAGTGGATTAATATTATTTGGTTTATTTGATATTAATAATAATATGAATAATAGTTGTACATACCATTTTATTTTATTTTTGTGCATTAAATGCTTATATTATTATAATTTATTGTAGTTTCAAATAAAATAAAATCCTATACATGGTAAAATAGCATATATATTTTTGATAAAAAAAAAAGGTTATTTGGTTAAGTGGTACATGAACATTTTTAAGCTATGTACGTGGTACTTTGATATAAAAAGGTTAAGAACTGCTGTTGTAGACCGACCATATAATTTGTAAATTTGTAATTTTAATATAAAAACATAATAATATATATTATGAAACTCATCAAATAAATATTATTATTTATTATATTAAAATTACAATATGCATTATATTATAATTTATATAATATACTATGTTTAAATAATAATACATATTATTTCAACTATAATTTTTAACTTACCTTCAGGAGGCATTGAAAAAGAAGCATTTTGTTTTTGTTTGTTGTTTTTCATGTTAGAAGATGTAGAAACTGAGACTGTATCATCTATATGAATTACATATGTATAATATAATATACGATTAATAATATATATATATTATTTTTTATTTATAAGAATAATAAATACCTACTAAATATTATGAACTTAGAATTACAAATAAACTTGAACTTTATTGTAATATACTATTTTACCTGAATTAAAGCGTTTAGATGAAGGTTCAGATGGAAACAAAGTTCTTTTAACTGGATTGGTTTGTGGTGTACATTGGCTGGTAGATGCATGGGAGAAACTTTGCGTAGAATGTAGCGGACTGATATTTTCAACAATAATTTTCCCAATTGGTGAATTCATCATTGTAATGTTTAAATTGTTTGGTGAACATTTATCAGGTGTTGTATGAACTGAGTACAAATATTTATAATTAGTATGGGTTACAAATTACAATCAACTAAACATAATTATGAAGATGATATTGTTATGCATAATATATAAAAAAAAAAAAATATTTTTGATTTTTGAATTTATAATATTTTTTTTACGTTAATAATTAGATCAATTCACTGAACAAAAATATTGAAATTATAAACATTTGTAAAAAATAAACCAGTTGACTTAAATAAAAGTTTTATTGCTATCAGTTTTTATAAAAACCAAATTTACAAATTGACTGTTTTGAATTTTTTCATTCAACTTAAAATCAATTATAATTTTTTTATTTTTCAGTATTAAAAAATAAAAATAAATAATCTTATACTATATACTAAGCACAATTGTCTATAAATTAAATATATTTATTTAACAATGTATTTAATTTTTCAGACTGTTATACGTATACCATGCATACTTGTATTTACCTGCAATTTTAGCAGGTTGACTACAACTGTACTCAGGATCTTTATCAGAATCGTAAATAAGACTATTTTCGCTTTCAGATCGAATTAGATGACAATTACTATTTTTCTTGGTTGAAAATTTCTCATTATCTATTAAATACAAATAATAAAATCATAAAATTATATCAAAATAGTAAAATATGAATAATGAATACATTTATAAAAACTGAATATTATAAGAGGTGTTCATCATATTATATTTATATATAATAATATTATTATAGATATTAGATATTAGACATGACATGTATAATAGTTAAAAAAAACTAATAAAAATAACCACAGATGTAGCTATAATAGTAACCTGCTTGGTAATTATCGAGGTAATTATATATTTAGTTTTCCTGATGTAATAAAATATAGGTAATAATAAGTCTATCTATTTAATTCATGGTTAATGTTCACTGAAACAATTTTAAAATAAGGGTAAAATAATGTATTACTTGTTTTTAAAGCTGGAGGACTTGGAATTCCTTCTAATTTATGATTGAATCTTGTATAACCATAATCTTCATTTGCTGAAGATAAATCAGTAAAATATTGAGCTTTTTTTGCTTTTACGCGTGCTTCTTCTAAACTTTCTAAGAATTTATTTGAATTTTAATGTCATTTAAGGTAGGTATTAATGTTGAAATAAAATAATATGCTTACCATAATTTCGACCAAGGATTCTAGCTGGATACCATTTAAAGTCTATTTCATTTGGTTGTGTTCTTCTTTCAATCATTTTTTTAGTTGAACTTTTTACTAACGGCCATGCACATGTTTTATGTATTTTTTTGTACCAAAAATTAGGAACAGATTCTACTGAATCATCCTGTAAAAAATGAACGACGTTCCACATCTAAACATAAAAATTAAGTTTAAGTTAAACCACTAATTAAAAAAATTATTTTATCTACTCACAATTATTAGTTAGATATATAATATATATTCATGTTTTTATTTCTTAGCATTTTTAATAAGTATATGTATGAATTTTTAAATTACATTTATATATAATATATAAATAAAATTATATACATTTATATATAAAATATATACAATAATAGACATTTTTATTTATGTATGGATTATAGGCATAGCTATTGATGATATACCATCATATATTAACATGACTTTTTTTTTTATTTCTGAAATATCCCAGATTTTTAAATCATGAGACAGTTTTTTAACGATAAAAATATCAAATATTGTTGAATCCATTGGTTTTTCATATAACATGGTTTTGTATTCAAATGTTTTTCCAATTAGTACAATGTTATTTTGGATATGTACAATATTCAAGCACTTGACAACTTCTTCATTTTTAGTTAAAATATAACTTTCTTTATCTACTGATATGTTAATTTTTATTTTACCAACATTTAACTGAAAATATTGTATTCCTTTAATATCATCAATTAATGGCCCATTCCTATGTGGTCGAGAAAGCATTTTGTGTTGTTTTGGATTTTTTACTAAATGCGTATGTGGTTGGTTGTATAACTCAGTATATCTGTTGATTAGTTGTTCGAGAGGTTTATCATATTTTCTAACATTAGACTTCAACTCCTTCATATAATTCTCAAATGCAAATGCACTACTGTTATCAAGAGGTCCATAATATCTGTAATCATCTGTTAAATGTAGAAGTCCATGAATATTGTGTGATATATGTTCACGGCCATAAATTATTTGAAATGTGTTAACAAAGTAGTCTAAAAGTTCTTTCGCATACTCTAAGTGACATGCTCGGTTTGGACTAAGTAATATCAACATAGAAACATGCAAACACATAAAGTTTGTTAATACATCTTTATTGGTCATATTTTTTAGAACAATTGGTCCAATATAAAGCAAAAATAACCTAAGTTCAGTGGCCTTCCACCTACCAATATCTTGTAATTCCCTTGTTTTCCTAGCAAAATCTGATGGGATGAAAGATTTAATCTCTAATAATGACTTGGATAGTTTATGGACATCACAATTTGGTAAACGAACTTTTAAAGGTCCTTTATTTAACCAGAGTAAAATAAGTTTCCGTACAGCTCCCAGACAAACTAAATGCATATAGTCTAATGAAAATGTTTGGATCAAATCCAATCCTGGCAATTCTACAAGTTGTGATAATGTATTTCCAACATGATGTTCTTCGTTTAACATATTAAGATAAGCTTCATGGGTTCTTTCATCTGATTTATCTTTAGAATAAGGAAAACACACTCTGTTCTTAAAATACTCACCTTCTTGAGTACATCGAGTACACGAATAAAATCCAGAGTGTCCTTTTATTTTCAAGACAAACGATTTTGCCGGCGCATCACACACAAAAACATGAATAGATACTTTTTTATTAGAACCATCAATATTAATGCCATTAACCAAAAGATCTTTAATTTCAGTAATGAAATCTGCCAAAAAATCATTGCTGTCCATTGGTTTAGCATTTCCGTGATAAACTCCTATGGGAAATACATATTTTGCCTCATCAACAATAAATGCCAAAATTGGCCAAAATTGGCTGTTGCTACTCTTAGCTAAGGGCAAACCGTCAATGCCAATAGCAATTTTTATGTCGTTCAAATTAGATGTATCATATCTTTTAATCCCTGCTGCCAATCCAAAATGATAATAACTTCCAGGATCAACATTACGAATATTAGCACTTAATGTTATAGGTGTTTGTAAAAGTGTTCTACAGTCACTAGGAAGATTATCAGTATTTATAGTATTTCTTTTTTTCATGATCTTCAACAATTTATTTACAGTACTTTGACAAACTTTACACTCAATGGCCCAAGCAATCAAATCCTCTTTAAAAGTACTGATTGTTTCAATTCTTTGTACCACCTCAATTTGTTGTTGTATTACAACCTCATCTTCATCTTGTATTACTACCTCCCCTTCTTGGGTTTCAACTTCTGAATTTATAGAAGATGTAATATATGTGGTTTTAGTTGTATTATTTTGGCAAAAAGTATTAGACATTGATGGAAGTATTAGACCATTTGTAGAGAGCAAGACTTCATTTGCAAAATCCGGTTCACTGCTTTCAACATTTGTGTCTCTTGCCGAGTATATTGTTTGAATATCATGTAGCTCCCGATTAATTTTTCTTTTTTTAGTTCTATTAGTTCTAATCATTATTAACAAAGTACATGTGTGCCGTAGCTATATTATTATTATTTATTTTCCTATAAAAAAAAGAAAAAAAATAATACAAAATAATTATTTTATAATATTTAGGTAGGTAGGTACCTAAGTATTTGGTATAAAAGTATTTCAATTTGTATAAAAAAAACCCCTTTTATCATGTATCTATATTATGATTTTATGAACTGAATTTATTATTTTGATACAAATTGATAAATTTTACATGTTTATAGCTAGGAATATCACAGATTATACCTATAAAATGGGTGGCACGATAACAGTTAAATCAAGTAGAACCAGTATCATAAATTGACTTGTGCAAAAAACGGATTAATTATATGTTGAGGAATAATAAATAATTATTCTTCACTAAAAGAAAACCTAAAGTATTTGGAAGCCCTACTAACATTATGACTTTTCTAATTCTATAAATGTTGGTGTTTGGTTCATTGTTTGTATTAAGAAAAGAAAGATGTATAAATATTTTTCTGTTCCACTAAAAATTAAGGTTAATTTATGATAATGATCAGCAAATGAATCTCTACATTAACTAATATTATATATTAGGTAAATATATATATTATCTAGGTAAATACTTATGATATCAGAATTTAAAAAAAAATAATATTAGAGGTTATAGTCGGTTTATAGGTATATAATATTTTATTAGTAGCTGGGAGGTATAGGAGGAACATAATTTACATTACTTAAAACATTTATTAATTTGTGTTCTATGAATATATTTTAATTATCACCTTTCATTTTATTTACTTAAACAATATATTATTAAGCAAACAGCACTATTTGCTATGTTTTATATGTAATTAGTTATTAAATAATAAAAATATATTACCTACAAAAAATTATACACAATTAAATATTTAGATTTTTAATAGCTTGTTTGAAGTATTGTTTTAAGTCTTAATAAACGTATATTTTTAAATAATATTACAGTAATAGAGTAATTATATTATTATTATAGGTATGTTGGACGATGAGTTAACACTTAACTTTAAATTGATATTGAAGACTAAAGAGTGGTATGCGACCTACCTTCAAGTGTCTTAGAAATTCCTAACCGTCTGCAGAGCCCTTACAACAGACCCCCTTTTATATGGTCCTTACTAAAATAGTGGGGGCTTTGGTCATGGTGACTTGTATTTGGCTCACACTAGCATTTAATAATATAGGAAACCATTTCCTTTTGAATTTTGATGTTTAGCTCTTCCCTAATAGTATGTGTAATATGAAATTACTTTTTTAACTAAAACATTACAATGAGCTTCACATTACTCTTACCATAATATTTATTTTGCCAATTGTCTGATTAATTGTGAATGGGTTATGTGTGAATATAATATATAGGATTATATATTTATTAAGAAGCTACGTAACAATCGACATAGCCAATGTATCCAATATATCACAGTTTTATAAAATTGTTCAAGCACAAGTATCAGAAATGCCAGATAATTTACTCAAATACCTAAGTCATGCGAAAAAAAATTATCTACCAGTACCCAATTTTACATAATTGTGTGAACTGCATTTCATAAGCATGCTGAATAATATAAATTATAACTCACAAAGTTATAATTCATAACAATTACGTAATAATATTACTAATTACTATTATAATAATTAAAATAACATATCATATACTTACGGCTTTCGGATAGGTAGATATTATTCTTTTTAATGTCAGAAAATATTTGAATTTAGCGTTGTGCTCGACAGCTCATTCTCCGATTTTCGGCACTCTGGTTAATATAAAGTATAAACAAAAAAACAAAAAACCCATCGACCGTTATCGTTACTGCGCATTATTGTTGCCAACTGCATAACCGCTTTTAATAATAATAATATAATGACTAGTGAGTAGTGACAACCAGCACGCTGGACGTAAATAAATATTATCAACATCGCGCCGCCAGAAAATAACAACCTATCTATATTTAGCCATATTGGTTTTTATTTCTTATATTATGATATTATATTTGAATCCGTTTACGAATTCTATAATTAGCCACGTTCTTTTGAGCTCGCCGTAGAGTGCGTGTTCAGAAGAATCGTCACCCCTCGACTCTCTTCCTGCTCAACTGATAGCATGGTGGAATGAGAGAGTGAAGTGCAGGACGACCAGGACGTCCTTCTCTCTCCCACTAGTCACTACCCTATGCTATACTTTATTATTATTATATTTATAAAATTATAAATTTTAATACTCTGTAGTCTGGTAACTGTTAACTGTTATCTATTTGTGCCTTTGCTGCTGCAGCTGCTTGCACATAGGTATATGATATCTGAGATAGTTTTATTACTCTATGTAGTGATCATTGATCAAAAACCGATATCGACGTCGATTCCGATTTCCGTTTCAACATAATATATTATAAATAATTTTATTTTATATCCGATTGTGTTTAAAATAATATAATAAAACTAAATAATTTTTACAAGCAATATTATTTAATTTGCAAACAATATCCTGAATAGACTTTCCAAATAAATTTTTTATCAATCTTATATAGGTACTTAATAATTTCAATAATTACAATAATTTCCGTAAACGAATTCAAATTTCGTTCAAACTTCAAAATGAGACGGGCACTCCCATTTTTATAATATCTTATATTTGTTTATCTTATATTATGTTTATTACAATATTGTATTACAATTTATATATCATGTAGGTAGGTAGGTATATAATATTCAATATACTGGTTAAATACTGTATAATTTTATTATACTTAAGTGATTAGTATTAGAATACTGATCCGAGGCCTAATGTAATATATTATATATATAATATTATTATAATATATTAAATTTTTGCTCTTCACAGCATATTATTAAATTAATTCAAGTGAATCATTTTTGAAACCTGATAATAGCAATATTATTTTCAATTCCAATTTATATTTTTTCAGAATATTCTCATTAAGTAAAATTAAAATATTTAGAAACTAAACAGACTGAAATATTATTATAATTTGTCAATGAAAATATTATTTTGAATTCTGATTTAAATATTTGCAGAATAGTCCCACGAAGTCAAAGTTAAAATATTATATTTCTAATTTAGTTAAAAATGAATTACAATATTATGTATTAAATATAATGATTAAAGAATTCTTAAAATATAATTATAAAATTAATAATAAAATATTATAGTTTTAACTTAGATAACATATTTCTAAAATATCAATGTTAAGGTTTTGCTATCTGGGTCAATAGCATATACGATAGTAATAATAATAATAATAATAAGACTGTGTTTGTATTGCTGCTGCGGGTATAACCTCATATTATATATTATTATCCGATGTGCCCATATAATATAAACGGTTTTTCGAACGCCGATCCAGACGACTGATGTCTGCGGCGAGATCGGTTCGAGAGCGACAGAGAAGAGATCGACTTCTGCGGCGGCGTGCCCACAACGGGAGATGGTTTTCATTCAACCGGGAGATTACGGAGGTATACAGCTATATGTATAATATATACGTGTATTATATTGTGTATAATGTACATTTATTATAATATTATTATCTTAAACGACGAGGAACCTAACGTCGGCGACGCGCTCGCATACGGGACGAGAGGGTTAATATCGTTTCCTCCCCTCTTATAATACGCGTCTGATATTATAATACCTATGATCGTATCGGCCATTATGTATTGTATTATCGTCTGGCCGCGATGTGTGCGTATACGACACCTCGACGTGTTCAGCTCGTCGATTGATTTCCCTTCTCAGGACAAACGGCTTTAAGAGTCGTCGTCACGGGCTTGTCATAGAGGACGGTCCTATATATATATATATTATATATATGTAAAGTCTGCAAGTCTAGAGCGGGAAATCTTCGCGAGTTGACCCGCCAGACCGTATATGGGTAGTATTATTCTATATCTAAGTACGAGCAATCTGATGAGCACCCAATCTAAAATCTACGAAGATCATCATATACCGATATAGGGCGGGGTTGACACTGCAAATATAAACTTTTACGGTTTTCACAAATATTTTATCGATCGGTTAGGTTAGGTTACCCGGAATAAAAGAGATATAGATTTATTTGTTATTGTTATCTCCAACAATATTGGATACCACCGACAAACCGACGAAAAATTGTTTACTTTTACACAGCTACGCGCCTACGCAGCTCGATTCTCTTAACATTAGAAACTATTAAAGTAATAATAATAATATATCTAGTTGCAAAACAACTGAATGAAAGTTAAATAATATCATACTATTTGTTATCGTTATCATTTTTCAAGTTTTTACTTTTTCGAATTAGAGCACACCCGTAATCATGACCTCTGCCACTTCATTCCAAGCTCAATCAACTATACAATAGAACCATAGTCTATGCTCAATAATAAGTATTGTTTATCCTAATTTTGATAATTTAAAAATAAAAAAAATTATGATACCAACTAAAAGAAATGCTCAAAAACAAGCAATACCAAAGTCTCGTTTATGAATCTCATTTGTCTCATAAGTATAGCTAATTCTTAAGCATCGACTGTATAATCGAAAAAATATTGGCTACCCGTCATGTGAAATAAGAATTGTATTCTGTCGTCCAATAAATAGTAAAGAATAAAAATAATAAATATTATAATTATAAAATAAGATTTATTTTCAAAAATCTCGTTCTACGTGTTGACCATTAAGATTATGTAAATATAAATGTATTTTTCTTTTTAGTTATCGATATATTGAGTGTTTACTACATATTATGTTAAAAAAGTATCAGCCAGTAAGTATATACGCATATTATATATTGTTTAAACTGGCAAACTGCAAACACTCGTATATCATTATAATATATGTTGACGGAGCGACGAAGGTTTGTGTTTGTGATGTACTTATATAAGCTAAAAAATAATATAAATATGTGAAATATATGTGTGACTTGATTATTGGTTTTGGGCGAGAAAATCTATTCGCCTAATCCGAAAAGTTTCGACTCGATAAAAGT